GCCCCGTCCACCGGCCTGTTGGCTCGAAGCGGCCGGCCAGTCCATCCCATTCCAGGATGGCCCGGGTGCGGGCCGCCTCGACAGAGTCCCAGCTCCAGGACACGCCCAGGAGCCCGTGCGACGACGCCGAGGCCCTCAACGAGGAGGACGAGGCCCCCGACGTGCGCGGTGACAGAGTCCAGGACCCCGTCGAGGAGGCCGTCGCCGAGGCGCAGGTCGACAGCTCCGATGCCAGGCAGGCGGGCTTCCATTACTCCCTGGGCGTGACTCTGGCCGCGCTCGCCACCGCCTACTTCATCCACTACTACATCCACGCCGGGGCCGTCTCGGCCTCCTCGCCGTCCTCCTCGGCGCCGCACACCTTCAGGAACCCTCTGAAGGGGGGATTAGCCGTGAGTGTTGTCAGAGATGACGCGTCGTTGCGTTGCATGACTAGACTCCGAGTTGTACTTCACTTTAAAAAAAATCATTGTACCGGGTGTAACTGTGAATGCGCTGCAGTGTAGCGGGTTTGCCTACTCTTTACACCCGTAAGGGGCCATGGCCCCTGCGGCCATATTGAGTATGCAATCCCGCAACACTGCTGCGTATTCACAGTTATACCCGGTACACCCTGCAAAACAATCAGAGAATATAGCAGAAAAAAAAACAAAAAAATCAACTTTAAAAGCAAATTTTCAAAAACGTCGAAAAAAATCAGAAAAAAAAGAAAAAAGAAAAATTAGAGGGAAAAAAATCCGTGTACGCTTGACTTATTGATGAAGTTATCCCTCGCTTGACTCCCAGGGTCCGTTCGATGTCGAGCTGGAGAAGGCCGAGATGTGCGACAAGGAGCGGCAGGGGCTGGGCGCGGCCAAAATGGAGTACAGCAGTGTGACCCTCGACAAGGATGTTCCCAAGCGCTATCACATCAGTGGCCGCGGCTACTTCAACTACAACACGTCCGACGACCTGTCGGTGAGCTTATTATTGGAGTGAAAACGGTCGGAAAAAGAGTAAAAGTGCGTTCGGGCACGATGTACTCACGACCTTGGCGTGATGGTAACCGCGAGGTGCTGCGAGATCACTAAAACGGAGATAAAAAAAACTTTCTCCCAGTTTTTGCTGACCGCCATCATTTCAATTATTTTGTTCTTTGTTGCATGTTTTTTTAATGATGCGCAATCTAATTACGCGATCCTGACGAGTTTTTTTTATTTTTATTTACAAGCTACGCTGTTGTCAGCCGGGTATCCCTTATCACAGTCGTTCAAACACAAGGAGGCGGGTCGGTCCAGGTGAGCCATAATGTGCTCGCCGTCCTGGCTGCCGACCCGAAAGGAACATTCTCTCTCGCCTGCATCGACCTGAGCTCTGCAGCGAGTGAGCATCGAATGCCTACTCGGAGTCCGAAAGCGATGTGGAGTGAGAAAAGCTATGGGCTATGGCCCGGCGCGAGCTTCTCACTCCCACCGCCCACCGCACTGCACTACCGGCCTTGACCGAGCACCTTCACTAGCTGGTGCTCTCAAGGTAGGGCGTCCGCCTTGCACAGCTGCTTGGCGGGTTGGCCTACCCAAGGTGTCGCAGGCGCTATCATCTACGTGGCCTAAACCGCCAGTTATCTGAATCCAACCAACCTTATCAAGACTGTACTAACCTGACTCCTATGTGCTTGCTCCGTCATTGTTTACATGTGGGCGATGGCAAAATCAGAGCAATTTTGCAAGCGTTGCCTCGAGGAACATTCATTGTGGGCACACCTGAACGCTCGTGTCGCAGGCAAAGTTCCTGCTCGCCTCGTGGAACTTCCCCGGTCGCTGGATCACTTACTACAGCAACACGTTCTCGGGGGGATGCTCAATGGCCAAAAACTTCTCCCCCGAGAGATGGCGGCGGATGTCCCAAATGGTCTTTGGCCACGAGAACGCCGACTGCCCTTTCCCGCCGGTGAGCGCGAGTGAGTGTGAGCGGATGACATGATGAAGTGTACTGGTGAATCAGTGGGGATCATGCTGGCCTCACCTTTGCCGCCTTCTTCACCGGCACAGGTCCGCGTGGAGGTCGTCAACTTCACGGTGGACCACAAGCAGCAGAGCTACATCAAGGAGTGGGTGTACGGCAGGTGGAAGGTGGAGAACCAGATCATAGATGTAAGCAGTGATGGCTGACAGTGCCCTGCCGCACATGAAGTACGTGTCGCTTGAATTGGGTGCTCCTGACGTGGTGCTACTCTCGTTTTGCAGACGGCCTACGGCAACCGGGTGGTGTCGTGCCATCGCGCCATCTTCCGCGTCGTGCCGAAGAAGCCCGAAAAGCCCATGCCCGCCGTGGTGCCCGCCTTCGACAACACCGACAGGTTGTCCGTCGAGATGCTGGAGCCCCCGGACGCTCCGCCGTGACCCCACCCGCATGCTTCGCGTCAACAAGGGAAATGGAAGGACTCTGCTCCTCCACTGCTCTCAGTCAAAAAAGCAGAGGAGGAATCATACTCGATTCGAAATAAAAACCTTAATTTAATTTAACAATTATGATAACAGTAACAATAAATATAACAAAATTTCACGAAGTCTAGTTTTGTACATGCAGAAAATTGGTTCATCACAGCCATTGCTCGTACTCGGTCCGAGATCACCAGCCCGACGCGCAAGCCAGAGCCAGACTCACCTCAGAACGCTGCAGGTGAGGCGGGCGGGGATGGCCAGGACAAGCACGGGGTTCTTGTAGTCCTTGCGACCAGTCGCAGCGGGGCGCTCACAGGTGCGTGACAATGGTTTCTGCACGGGGGGTGAAAAGCAGCATTAGTGGTTGCACCGAATCCCGGCGCGAAACGGGAGGGAAAACGTTTTCTTTTACAAATTGCGATCGGCGAACACGTGTAAAGCGGGCGGACAGCTCGGTCGGTGGCACTCTGTCAAACGGACACGGGAAGTCGCCCCTGGACCTTGACTGTCAAAATGCGAGCGGCTGGTACATAATTACAGGACGAACACAATTGCAACGGACGAGCAGAGACAACGTGAAGCTCGACAAACCAGCGCAACGACAAACGACAGGACAGCGGCGGGGGGCGAGGCGGGACGCAGCAGGACGGACACAGAGCTGAAACAGACATGCCAAACCTTCTGTGGGTCGCGCTCGCGTGTTTACAACACCTTGGAGAGCAGCTCGTGACGCTCGGCCGGCTCGTCTGAAACAGCAGAGCTTACGGCGTCAGCGCCTGTCGCTATATAGGGCGGGTGACATGGCCACTGCCACATTACCAGTCACGTGTCAACGGCGGCTACCTTTGCTCGATTTTAGAGAGTCCTGTGGGTTGTTCCACGGCTGGACGTCGGCGCGCCCAAACAGCAGGAACACAGTGTTCCCCGTGAGGTAGACGCAGCCGCCGATCAGATACACGTAGCTCCAGCCCGTTGCCAGCTCCTGTTCACGAAGGGGTTGTTGTCGAACGGTCACGAGGGCGGTGCGTCACTTCAAGGACTCGTCCAGGACTCACCTCGTGGGTCTGGCCGCGGTCGTCGCCGACGACGGCGCTGACGAGGAGCGGCGCCACGATGCCCATGGTGTTGCCGATGCAGTTGGACAGGCCGAACATGGCGCCACCGAAGTTGGGCGACAAGTCGACGTGGTTGATGAGGAAGCCGACGAGGAGGGCGGCCTCCAGGGACACGGCCACGGTGAGCAGCGCCACGGCCACGGCCGTTTGGATGCCGAGGTGCGTCAACAGCGCCAGCGTCAGGAAGGTCAGCCCCATGCCGTAGTGGCCTGCGGACGGAAGACATACAGGAGGGGGATGTTCGAGGAGAGGGTGGACAATGGGGTACCGGGGAGGCAGGGGCACAGCAATACACACCGATTGAGTTGAATATCTTCCTAGTCTGGACGATGGTGAGACACTGTCTGTCGGAGAGGATCTTTACCACCCACACCACCAGCATGGAGGTGAACACCAGGCTGAGGTAAGGCAGCGAGGACACGAGTCCGTTGTCCTTGATGTCGAACTCCAGCACGGTCTTCATGTAGTTTGGCATCTGCGTGAGCATGAGCCAGTGGCCGAAGTTGCTGCACGAGTGCACCACGATGATGGCCCACACGCAGGGGGTGCTCAGCACTTTGCCCCAGGGCACGGTGAGACGCTGCAGGGGACACGTCGTAAGGGTAAGAAGGAAAGTTGAGAAAACGCGTTATTTGGAGACACTGCACACCCCATCCACACCGGCCCCGGCCCGTACGCACCTTGCTGCCGCTGGAGGACGACCCCAGCGCGCCCTGGATGTACTCGCGCTCCTCGGCCGAGATCCTGGTGCAGGTGTCGGGGGAGTTGGCGCCCTGCCACAGCCAGAGTGCGCCCCACAGCACGGACAGCCCGCCCGGCACGTAGAAGCCCGACGGCCAGCCCAACGGGGAGGAGCACAGCAGCCCGACGCCCGCCATGGCGGCGAGCGTGCCGACGGACGGCCCGCTCATGACGATGGCGGAGGAGCGGCTGCGCTCGAGCGGCGGCGCCCACCGCCCGAGCATGTAGTGCACGCAGGGGAAGACGAGGCCCTGGCAGAGGCCCTCGACGGCGCGCAGGACGCACAGCGTGTACGCGCCGCCCCAGGCGGCCGCCAGCGGCGTCAGCACCGACAGCAGCCCGCTGCCCGCCACGCCGATAAAGATGAAGTAGCGGGGGCCGTATCGGTTGGACAGCGTGGCGCCGGGCACCTGCATGAGCACGTAGCCCCAGAAGAAGGACGACAGCACGTAGCCGCGCTCCTGCTGGCTCCAGTCGTAGGTCTGCGAGCGAGACGGGCTGATGAAACTCCCTGGCCAGCGCAGGGTGCAGAGGAGCACACTGTGATTTCAACACACAACCCCTCCACGGGCACTTGCCTGGAAGCCCGCGGCGCTCTCCGGGGAGGTCATGGCCACGATGCACAGCGACATGTTGACGCGGCAGCTGTACGCCAGCGCCGTGCCCACGGCCAGGATCCACATCTGGATGTGCCGCCGGCCGAAGGCGCTGGCCACGGCGGGCGGCAGCTCTGCGGGCTCTGCGGCGGGGCGGAGGCAGACAAACGGTTAGCCCGCTCATTACACTCGTATGGTCCGGCCGGTCCCACGCCACGCCGAGCCGAACCCTGGCCGTGCCCGGACCAACGGAATGGCACGAGACTTGTGTGTGTGTTGTGTGTGGTTAATTGTGGGACCGCGCCTTCCGACGCTTGGTGCAGATCTCCGTCTCCACCTCTCGGCAGGCGTGCCGTGCGATGGGTCACTCGAAACATTGACGTTTTCATTGATTAACCAGTCAGCATACCTCGTAGGACAGGCGCCGGCTCGAGGCTAGGGGAGCGCGATCGCGATACGTTTTGTTTTCGAAGTGTTTTTCATGGACCGATTCACAGCCCTGCCTGGACTTCCCTCGCGACAGGATGAAAGCCCTTCCTCCCCTTGAATTTCCGGGTGGCGGACGTTGGTGGGTTCTGTCGCCCTCACCCAACCTCTCCCTCCACCGTGCCCTCACCTACCTTCCTTGATGGGGAGGTTCTTCATCGCGGTGCTTCGCTTCGCCTCGGTGTCCAGGAGAGTCGTCGCGGTCCTCACGCCTCGGCCGCCTGAGCTCGACTCTGCTGCGCTCGGCTGGCGGGAACTGCAGCCCGAGAGGCACCTCCAGCCCCAGCACAGGTGAGCAGGGCTTGCCACGGGCGGGACGCTCGAGATATCCCGAGTCAGCGCCCGCGCATTACCGCTGTGAAAACATTGTAGCTAACGCGGTAATGCCACGCGACGCCAGAGTAGGTAATTCCACCGAAATAGCGAATGAGCAGGGGGTAGCAACGAGGCGCTTCTGAGTGACCCCATGCGGTAGCGAGGCCCGGCCCCCCACCACCGGCCTCGGCGCGCCGCGGCCGGAGCCAGGCGAGCCGCGCCCGATTGCAGCGCTTCAGTCAACTCAACCATATTCTATCAAAACGTCTCAA